CGGAAGAGCTCAGCAACAGAGAAAACGTGCCATCAAGGGATCACACAGTATCAGGTGACTTGAAATTTGTCATCTTTCGATTCAATTTATGTTCAGCAAAGAAAAAAACACATTCTGGATGAAACTATTGATAATAAACAATGCATTTTTATAATAAGAGGAAAATCAATAGTAGTGAGTAGCAGGACTTGGTCAGGATACATATAATTACAGTCTGGCATGCTGCTTATTTTAGCTTTTACGACAAAGCAAAGGGTTTGAGGAACCTTAGGAGCATCTCACAAGTCTCTAATCCAAAAAACAGTTTATAAGAATTTCATGGCACATACAACATGCATCAAATCTGTATTATTTAATAACTAAGATGCTGTATCATTCTTTTCATGGTTCACAATCACACACACATCTTCTTTCACTTGAGAAAGCCCATTCATATTAAGGTGTTTGAATAAAAACCAAGGAAAAATCCCATGACCTTATTTTTACTAATGATTTTTGTTCTGATGAGCTATACCAGGGGTCCTCAAACTACGGCCCGCGGGCCACATGCAAATACAAATATTGTATTTGTTCCCGTTTTGTTTGTTTACTTCAAAATAAGGTATGTGTAGTGTGCATAGAAATTTGTTCATAGTTTTTTTTAAAACTATAGTCCAGCCCTCCAACGGTCTGAGGGACAGTGAACTGACCCCCTGTTTAAAAAGTTTGAGGACCCCTGAGCTATACATTTGAAAGAATGATTCTCATTTGAATAACTATAGAGAAAGCAAACTGTAAATTTTCAATCTGTTACCAACAGGACAGGTTCCTGGGTTAGACTGTAGGGTGCATACCTATATTGTGAGAGGGGTTATCTGGTCTGAAGCATAACTTCTATTTAAGATGGTGGGAATTTTGTTTATTTCATCATTAGCAGTGAGCAGAAAGTGGGCATTGTTAAGGCTTCAAGAATTTTCCTTTAAAGTGGCAATCTATCAAAAATGTGAGCTGGGTAAACCAAGTAGATCCCATGGAGATGGCTTGAGGAACTATTTCTAAGGCATCAGAGTTCTGAGGAGGGCTTTCTCTTTTGGGTTTTGACATTCATTTTACAAGCCTTTCTTAAGATGAGGCTTGAAAGGATATTCAATCTGTATTATATATAAAAAGATTGTTTTTTATATTCATGCTATGTATTTGAAGTACAGTTCAAACCTATTCTTTATAAAAATAAGGAAAATAATATCAAAATATTTATCTGTAAAAAGAACATGTTTCTAAAGAAATCACACTAAAGTTCTCTTGATACCACTGAGGCAATGTTTGATTTGATCATTGATTTGATCACTCCCATCACTTATTCAGAGAGTTGGAAGTAAGCATGAGAGAAGTTTAAAGTGTAAACTCGGAACATTAATCTTAGCTCCATATGAAGGCTAATTATGGGCAATTTCTCCACCAGTGCAGAGAATCACCTGGAGCAAATATTTAAAAAATGTTGCTCTTATAAAATAATTAGAATTTTAACCCAATGCATGATTCAAGTTAGAAAACCAGAGGAGTTGAAATATTTTAATCACATAGCTGTTTTACCTGATTCTAACCGATACACACACATATATATTTTATGTACTTAAAATTACTTCTGTACTATGATTCCCAAACAGGTTTAGGAAGTACATGGTAGAAGCTGTAAGGATTAATCACTGTGTCTTCCGGCAGTGTTCTCCGTCAGAGGGTCGGGGAAGGCTCTCTTGCTTCTTCTAGCTTTGTGAGGATCCACTGTTGTGAGGAAATAAACCAACATATGCTTACTTCTATGAACTTGTAATGAAACTCAAAATGTACGGAATGGAAATATAGAAGTGGGCTTCTCAGTTTAGTTAGGTGTATAATCATAACCAATAATTCAATTTATCTTAGGTAAGAGATCATTAAGTGGCTCAGATGGCTCAGGGTCAATGGCACTGATTTTTTATTTAACAGTAAGAATAATGTTGTTTTAAGGTCACTGAACTGGCATGTTCATCTTTAGAATAAGAAAAGTAAAATAAACCATCCTGAGAGAAAGGGTAATTTGGCAGCTGGGCTAACTCAGGCACAGTGTGCAAATTACCTATGCAAAATTCCTTCCAACCTATGCCAATTCTGTCCCACAAACCTTCATCGTTCCATATATAGGATTCTTCTGATTAAGAATAAGTACATATTCTACAGTGGGTAGGAGTAGCATAGCAACATTCTTGAGCACTTTAGGTGTTCTCATAATATAGTATTTTCTATTTTGAAAAGGTTTGAAATCACAAACATAAAACACATTATGTAATGCAAACCTTTCTATCAATAATGTCTATAATCATTGGGCTTGTGTGACTGATAAAAGCCTTGGAGGTGACACTGGATCATCCCACTATGAAACACTTTGGCAGAGGTATCCGTGCTTCTTTACCTTAATAAGAACCTCGTGGGAATAGCTCTAGGATGAGGAGAGAAAGAGAACTGAGCTCAGTAGCCTTTTCTGGATGTTTCCAGCAGAGCTGGAAGATTAAAAACAAACCTTCTGGGACAAAAAAACATGGTGACAGAGATTACATGGAAAAAGTATTGCAGAGCAACTGAAATAGGTGGTAATGCTCTCCAACAATGTGAAAGATGGCCTCAAAGTCACACTGTTATCATTCTCCAGTCTGTCTCCCTGTTCCAGGCAACAAACATATTGAGGCTCTAGTCACTTTCTTCCTCTTTCTTTGTAACTTGACCCCTTTCAGTTATCTACTGGTAGTATGCCAGTGTGGCCTTGTATCCCAATGGCTGGATGGAAAATTGCACGGCACATGCTAAATGGTCCGAGGTTCCTAGTTTGGGGCCCAGATGTGAGAGTGAACTGGTAAGTAGTCACACCCAGTCAGGACCAATGCAGTATGAGGGCAGGAGGCCCAGGGATTCAGTAAAGGAGCCTTGTGTTCTTATAAATTTCATGACACAGTGAGTACAATTCAGTATCAGAAATAGCATCTTAGTTTGATTAACAAGGCAGATAATCAGTCTGTAGTCTTCCTTTTTTTGACAGTACACCTCCTTGTAACTGCCATAACCCCTAACGTATGCACAGCGCTTTACAGCTCACATAATTCATATTTTTCGGCAACTGAGGTTAAACGACTTCCCCAAGGTACCACAGTCAAGAAGGATCAGAACCTGTATTCAGACCTGGATTTTCTGACTACAGGCTTGGCTCCTTCTGCTATGTGCCAGGCTATAGCAATTGTTTGTAAATCACCATAGCTGGTAGATTAGCATTAGAATGAAATAATTTCTTTTGTTTGACTTTTTCACAAGTATTACAGTTAGGATTTAAAATCAGATGGCACCATTTGACACAAAAAACAAGTAAGTGTGTTGAATTCAATCTAATGAAAAGCAGTTTTGGCGAAATATTATCTAGTCACGTATATTAAAACAGTCAAAGCAGAAGAACATAATTAAAAACAAACAAAACTTGTCTGCCTTAGAAACAGCCCAGCTTCCAGGACTATGAAAAGCAAAGATGCTGTTTACATAAGAGAACCGTTATATTTACCCTAGCATCTTCTGCAGTCTTGAAGTTAATTATTTTTCCAAACTCTTTGGCATGGAATACAGACTTCACCCGTTCCTATAAACAGAATAAGTGTCTTCATTAAAAATGAAAAACCAGTTGTAGAAATATGATAAAGAAATGACATGTAGTTTTAAAAACTGGTGCTTCAAGCGTCCATTTTACACAAATCACACATCTTAAAAAAAAGCCAAGAATGGGAAATCAAGAAGAATCAAAGACAAATGGAAGAAAGAAAAGACTAAACGTTAACACATCCATTATCACTAAACCTAAGTTAAAACGCCTTAGGAGCGATGTTATAGCTAAAGCCATAAAGGGTTTACACAAAGGATGGGAAGGAGGTAAGTTTAGGAGTGCCACTGTTTTTCCCTCCAAAAAACTTTTCGGTGGTTCTTGATATCTGGCCATGGAATAATGATGATTTTAGCTCAAAAATGATATGTACATATGTGTGTACATGCATACATACATGCACATGATTATGGGTGTGTGTGCATGTTTCTATGTATCCATGTAACTTCTGACATTTTAAATCACTCATTGAATAAGAATGTAGCTAAGGATCAAATAAATCAGGGTGGGTCCAAGATCCTATATGACAGTCTTCCAAATTTTGCACTCCTTCAGTCTTCTGTTCAGTGTCTGTGGGGAGAACTGCCTTATATACATACTAAATATTAGAGGGACAAACAGAAATGGAATTCTTGAGGAGGAGGTTGGTGTTTAACTGCTATTAACTAAGGGTAGGGTCATAGAAGAGGCAATGTGGAGGTTTTTACTAGTCTAACAAATCCTATAAGTCATTCCAATATCCATGCAAATATAGACTACAAAAGAAATCAGATTCTTTTATTTTTTAAAAAAAGGATGACTACTAATACAATGTCTCAAGAATAGGTAGAAGGGGTGGGGGGGGGGCGAAATCAAGGAGATAAGAAGTTTATTCTTGGAAAGAGAAAAAAAAATGGGGGAAAAAGCCAGGAAAGCAGTATAGGCTAGAACAGGATCTAACAACCTCTCTTCTTTATTTCATAGGTGGCCACAGGGCCTTTCATTTTCTGAATGAATTAGAGAAATTCTCAATGGGAAAAGTTGGTCTAACATCCCCCGGAACTAATGTCTGGTCTACTCCCCCACTCTCTGAACTGAGTGGTAAGATTGGAGAAATGCTCTTCACTGGCTATGTATAGGGAAGGACAGTTTTGCTCTGGAGGCCAGCCCAGAAGACATTTGCTGCTTCTGCCTGCCTGTGCCCAGTGCCACCACTCCATTAAGCACTTTCTGAATCTCCTCTGGGTAACTATTTCTCACCTTCTCTCACACCAACACTTCAGACAGAGCTGACCCTTCCTTCCTGGGATTGATTTAGGAATAAGCAAGTGACCAAAGGTGCCCCAGTGT